TGTCATTGTTTGACAATCAGCAGTTAGCGGTTAGCGTCAACGGATTATATTATCAGATTTGACCAGCGAATTATATCAATGATTGGTATATTAAAAAAAAAGTTAACTGTTTAAATTAACATTTAAAATGACCTAAGGGTATACATATAATAATAATAATAATTGTTTTAATAATAATTTTTTTTAATATAGATGTGTTTTGGGAAAATCGTTCTCAAAAACGCTAAGTGAAAATATTGTAAATTGCAATATTTGTATTTTCAGTGGTTTGGAACAAATTATTGCTTCAAACTGTTGAATAATCAAAACATTTTCTTTAGCATTTTGATCTTTGGATTACATCATATTTTCCAATCGTCCAATATCTTTGGGTTACATTATAATTAAAAATTTTAAATTTTTACTGCATCTAAATTCCTTAAATTAGGAATTTCTTTATCCATAATAATTTATTCAACAATAATGGTTGAACTAAATGAACACTGAGCAAAACACCTAAAGGACTGGTACTGTTGATTCATTCATTGATCTTGTATATATGTGTATTCATTAAATATATTAGAGCCCTTTGCAACAAAAATACTTGGTTACTATTTCAAATTTGTTTAGTAACAATTATAATGAATCTCCTATATTACATTGTATTCATATACTATGAATTACATATTTAAATAAACAAATTAGACATTAAATTACTTATGTTGAACTTCTCGTATATAATCTTGCATTAATATACTTTCAAATATTTATTTAATTATAAACATTGGGTAGAAAAAATGACCGTCAAATTATTAAATCAAATGAATAGTTCAGATTTTAATTTTTCTTTGAGATTTCCTAATTTATCCTTAATTATATGATTATCTGATCCGTTAATTTTTTTATTAAGTACCGTTAATTTACCGTTAGCCTCTATGGTTCATGTTCAGTTGAGTCACCATGATTTACATCCTCCCAAAATGCTCTGTCGGGCCGGGGTGTGGGGGGCCCTTAAGGTTGGGGTTCAGCCTTTTGGAATAATAATATTAAAGTCTAATATAGAATTATAACTACAACATTAATCTAATTCTAATATTAAAGTCTTAATAGAACTCTAACCATAAATCCTACTGCCGGAATCTCCTCAAACAATATTAGTATATATTTAATATTTTATGCTTTAATTTTTATTTGCTCTCCCTTATGTAGTTATGTCCCGCATTTGGTTTCAACCATACCCATACAATTATTTTATTGACAATTATAATCAATCTTGACTATACCAATTATAATCAATCTTGCATTTGTAAACTTAGAAATACCAATTTAAATACGCAAATTCAATATTCAATTATCTATGCATGAACAATTCCAATATAATCTTGCATTGATATACTTTAAAATACTTATTTAAAAAAACATTGGGCATTATCTCAATCGCGCAATGCGCGTAAAAAACTAGTTATGTATATATATGCCCAACACCTTGTGCTCAGATGACATGTAGTGATTCTCTCATATTGAAAGGTCATAAGATCAAACCTCAGTAGAGGCGGTGTTGACTCTTTGTGCTTCAACAAGTTGAGAAAAAATGATAAATTATCAAGTTTGTAATATTTATAAAATTGATCACAGTTTTTTTTTATTATTATTAAAACACTCAACCATTAATAAACATTGATGAACGATTGAGATCAATCAACACTTTTTATAAGAGCGAGTTATTTTTATTTGAATATAAAGGTTCATGTGAAAATATACTCCGTAAGAAGCATTCTTATCCATATTTTTGGATAGTTCAACGGTTCAAGTGACCACTATTATTCTTGCATTTTTTCTTGTATATGTAATATGCCCATATATACTCTTATAGTCTATCTTAATTGTAAAATTAGTAGGCAATTAATTTTTTTTTATCAAACCTCAAAACATTTACTAAAAAACTAAAAATATTAGTATAGATAATGTTTTTCTACAATATTGATCGTAAAAATAAGATTTTAATCTCGTAAAGAATGATTAAGTAGGTAAAACATAATTATTTGTCTAACCCATTATATAACGTCTTTTTAGTATAATTTACCACTCAAATAATAGAAACGGAGTTTACCATTTACACACTCTCACTTAGGTATAACTTATAAGATACAAATATACCTTAATCACTTTCTGTTTTATAAATCAACATTTTTAGGATTGACATTGTAGTTCTTTTAATATTTAAATATCTTACATAACCAATAACGGTAAAAAAAATTCTCTTTCCTTTCAAAACTAAAATTGTAATAAATTCCTTTCCTTTAGGCTCTGCTGCCTCTTTCATTAAATGAGCATTTATGTAGTCTGTGATGAATCTGATGAGTTTATGTTATGTAGGATCGAGTATTTTATTTGTGACTATTTTTGTTTTAGCCATGGTTGAAAAATTGCTAGGTGGTCCTTGAGCAGCAAATTATTGTGTGAACCATGAATATAGGGTATATTTTTAATATACAAAAAGTACATTATTTGATAGTATATATAAAATAATGTATTTTTAGTATTAAAATAATGTACCATCAAACAATGTATTTTTAGTATACAAATAATGTATTTTTAGTATATTAAAAATGTACATTTTATTTATGGTCCACACAATTGTGTGGACCATGGTCCATGTAATAATTTATTGTCCTCGGGCACTCGGGAGCGTCTAGGCGGCAATTGATCGGCGTCTAGACATCCGTATATATTTTATTTGTTAAAAAATTATTTAAAATTATTTAATTTTTTAAGACTTGATAATCATAAACTATTTAATTAATACTTTAATAGTTAATACTAAAATATTAAATATTAACTTAAAACATTTAAAATTTGAACAATATAAGGTTATTTCGCTCAAAACGATGCCTTTTTGAGTGAAATAACTCATTTTAAAAAGAAGAGGACAATAGCTAATTGGCTGACTAGGCGGCCTTCTCGGTATCTAGGAGGCATAGTCGGTACCTAGGAGGCCTAGTCGGTGCCTATGAAGTCTAGGCGCATTCTATCAAATACTGTTGATATTTTTCTTTACAATATCCAATGCATGCAAATGATGCATGTAATTGTACTTAGTACAAAAGGTATCAGTATTGATCAAACACCTTAAAAAAACATAAGACTATATCTTAAGTAAAATAATATTTATCAATTTTCTTTTTTTTTTTAAAACAAATAAAATTACCATTAAAATTACTCTTAATAAAAATCAGAAATCAAGTTCATGATATCTCTGAGAAACCATATCTATTACATAGGGATGATGACATAATAATAATAATAATAATAATAATAATAATAATAATAATAATAATAATAATAATAATAATAATACATTTTTGTATTTGGTATGTGAATTTTAATACATGTTTGTATTTAATAAATATATTGTTTCATAAACTAATTAGCATCAAATTAATTTTAATTAAATAGCATCAGTTCTTTATTTCATTTTTATTAAAAATTGATTATATATTTTATATATACATCCTAATTAACTATATAGTGTAAAAAAATGTAAATTTAGGCCACTTAAATTTTGTTACCTACCATTACATTTGGTACTCAGTAATTACATCAATATATCATTAATTTAGAATTATTAATTTATTTTTAATTCTACATCACAAAATTTATTATTATTATTATTTTTAATATAAGAGTATGAAATCAAGCTCAAAACCTCTTATATAAAGTCTACAAAAAATTAAAGTAAGAGTTTAAATGTTTAATCTCTTTGTGAAGATAAGAGTTTCTAAAAGTTAGAGGCTACGGTACATATACTCACAAAAGTACGTCAATCAACAACACTTGTTTTAACTTCTCAATAAATATATTTAATCGAATAATGTCAATATTTATTATGTAGTGTTTTTTTTTTGTTCCTCTAAACTAAACTTAAATGGATTCCATCTCCTTATATCATAATTAATCTTAGTGGCACCAATTTGTGAATTATTCTCGAATTCTACATGTAAAGCTCCCATGTACTAGCAAGTCTTAAGGTCATGAGAAATGACTCGTGACTTTGAGATTTGGAAGAGACATAACTGTAGGGATTATCACGGTTTAATTCGAATCGTGCACTGTTAGAATCGGACCAGAATAAAAAAAATATACAAATGGTTTTGATTCCGATTTCATAATATTTGGAATCGGAATTAGCCGTTCGGAATTAGATAGTTTCGATTCCAAATCAGAAAAAAAATTAATTATTATTTATTATTTGATTAAAGTTTAATTACTATTTTATTAAGTTTAAATTCTAAAATACCATTTTAAAGTTCAATGATAATAGTTTTTTTTAATATAGTTTATATTTCATATAACTATTTAAAAAACATTTTAGAATGAAAAATTTTCAAAAAAAAATTAATGGTTGAATTTGGACAATTTTAAAAATACAAAATATAATTTACAAACAAAAAAAAATAAAATAAAATAAAATAAAATTCGGTTCGAACTAGAACCGCCGGTTCCGAAATCGGATGTGAAACCTTTATACAAGGTTCTGTCCCGGTTTGGCCACTGAACCGTGGACATGATTATATAACGGAAGTGTTTGATAAATAACTGTTAGTTGATTGTGTTAATGGTTTGACTAGTTGATAACATTAGCTGATTGTAGAAAGATGTTTGTAAATTAGTTGTTAGCTGATAGCTGAAATGACTTTCTCAAAAAGCTAATCGAAAAAGCTGCTTTGAGAAACTTTTGTATTTTAGCGTTTTGAAGCAATAAGATGTTACAAAATACTAATTAATCCAAAACTTATATTGACGGTTTAACTTGATTAAACAGCTCATAGTGATCAAATAAGCCAAAATTGACAGATAATAACAAAAGTTAAACTTTAAATATTTTTTTTCTGTCAGACTTGATCCCTGATCATTCTTTTCAACTTTCACCTCTATGATCAATTGAGCTGCTCATGCCGCCAAACTTTATACTTCTCAAATTACTTGTGGTATATAAATATATTGTGTGGCACCGAAGTTTAGCTTGGAAGATATGAAAGCTAGAAGTGTTAGAAAAGCAGCATCCTTTTTAATCTTCAAGTAAACCACCCATCTCTTCTCATGACTTTTCACCCAAAAACAATAAAATAGAAAAAGACTTCTTCCCCTTTTTCATTAATGTTCCACCAAACACTCAAATCCTCTCATACAACCAAATTGCCACACATACAGCTCTTCTTCCCCATTATCCCACACCATATTAAAGAGAGAAAGAGAGAGAGAGAGATAGAGAGTAGTGTGGTGTTGTGCAAATCTGCAATCAATTAATCTACAGCGAGCGGCCATGGATGCTCAGATCTTTGGCCTGAGCAAGCTGTTGTGTTTTAGTGTGTTTTTGTTGGTGTTTGGGTTAGTGGGTGGCGCAGCATTGCACGAAAACCCATCAAGAAATCTCAGCTCCGGCGCTCAGATCAATTCCAACTCGGTGTTGGTGGCCCTTCTGGATTCGCACTACACGGAGCTGTCGGAGCTGGTGGAGAAGGCGCTTCTTCTCCAGACTCTTGAGGAAGCTGTTTCCCGGCACAATATCACCATTTTTGCGCCCAGGAATGAGGCTTTGGAGCGGGATTTGGACCCGGAGTTCAAGCGCTTCTTGCTTCAGCCTGGGAATCTCAGGTCCCTGCAGAATCTCCTTCTCTTCCACATGATTCCCACTCGCATTGAGTCCAAACACTGGCCGGAAAACTCGCGGCGGGGCGGCCGGAATCATATAACTCTGTGCCGCGACGCCGGAGGGGAGAATCTCGTTGTGTCGGAGAGGGAGGTGAGCGGCGCGAAGGTTGTTTCCCTCGACGACGTCGTTCGCCCCGACGGCATCATCCACGGGATCGAGCGCGTGTTGATCCCCAAGTCGGTGCAGCAAGATTTCAACACGCGGCGGAGCTTGCGGTCCATCTCCGCCGTCCTCCCCACCGGCGCCCCTGAGGTGGACCCCAGGACTCACCGTCTCAAGAAACCCGCCGGCCCGGTCCCCGCCGGCGCCCCTCCCGTTCTCCCCATCTACGACGCCATGGCCCCCGGCCCATCTCTAGCTCCCGCGCCCGCCCCGGGCCCCGGCGGCCACCACCACCACTTCGACGGCGAAAGCCAAGTCAAGGACTTCATCCAAACCCTCCTGCATTACGGCGGCTACAACGAACTCGCCGACATCCTCGTAAACTTAACATCCTTAGCTTCCGAAATGGGGCGACTCGTCTCCGAAGGCTATGTCCTCACCGTTTTAGCTCCCAACGATGAAGCCATGGCGAAACTCACCACCGATCAACTCAGCGAGCCCGGCGCGCCGGAGCAAATAATCTACTACCACCTCATCCCGGAGTACCAAACGGAGGAAAGCATGTACAATGCCGTCCGAAGGTTCGGAAAAATCAGATACGACACGCTAAGATTGCCCCACAAGGTTGTCGCCGAGGAGGCCGACGGGTCGGTCAAGTTCGGGCACGGCGAAGGGTCGGCGTATTTGTTCGACCCGGATATCTACACCGACGGGAGGATATCCGTACAGGGAATCGACGGCGTTCTGTTCCCGCCGGAGCCCAGTAATCCCGCGGCTCCTAAAGCTTCCCCTCTTGCTAAGGTTGTCTCAAAGCCAAGAAGAGGTATATCATCTTTTAACCAACTATTCTAGTTTTCTGCAAATTTTATCCCAGCTTCATATATATCCATCAAAATCTTGTTTTTTCTTTGAATTGTTATCATTATTTGCAATAGATTGTTGGAACCTTAAACATAAACATAAACTTTGAGCAACCAGCTTGGTTGGTGTGAGTCGCCGAGCACTTAAATGGAAAAATCAATCTGGTCAGTACTTCGCCCCTTAATTGGGCCGACCTGGTGAGAATTGGGATTAGTTTGAGTATGGTACGGGGTTAAAGGTGCTTCCTACAGTCAGTTAAGGCCTGGTCAGGACATATCGTGATTTAACAAAAAAAAAGCATAAACTTTGAGCACCATATAATCTAAATTATATATGTGGTTATGGCATTAGGCCATGTAGATGCCACTTGCAGCCTTTAGTTCTTTCTCATGGTGAATTCTAGCACTTAGGAGCAACCAAGTTAAAGTGTCAAGCTTTCGCACATGGATGAATAATAATAAGTCCTATTCGGTCACATCATGAAGATAGTTACACCTTAGCTTGTTGTGTGAATTTGCTAAGTTGTCCTAAAGCAAATTAGGTAGCTTAGCGTGTTGTTCTCACAAGTTTTTCTAATCCAATAGGTTACTTAGTTTTAAGATAAGAAAATGATGGATTGACTAGGTCACGGCAGACAATAGTAGGTAAAGAAGGTATTTTTATGACGATGGTATAAAGAAACTAGATTACCATATCCTAAAATTGTTGTCTTGGTGGGAATTGAAGTTAACAAATGGATTATAAGGGGGGGGGGGGGGGGGGGGGGTGGCGGTGCTGGCGGGGTTGATGTGTGGACCTTCGGTGGTGAGCTAAGCTAAGAGCATTGAATAGGTTAAGTTTCCAGCACAGCCCAGCTGTTAGTCATAGTCGTGGCTTCTAATTATTCGGTTCACAGCCCAGCTGTTAGCCATAATCGTGAAGTGTATTCTAATCATTATTGGTTCCAAATTTCCATGTTCAATTGTTCAAGCCAGGCTGTATAGTATATTGACAAACACCTTTCATGTTCCACCTTTCTTATGCAAATCAGCTGTCATGATATGTTAGCTAGCCTGACCTGCCATGATTTATTGTACAAGTAATTTTCAGTTACATTGAAGTAAAAAATCCCGCCAAAAAATCTTTGAAGAGAACACCAGTTGTTAATTTCCCAATTAGCTTTTTCAGAAAAGAAATTATACCAAACAGCTATCAGCTAACTGCTAATTTACCAAACACTTTTCTACAACAGCTAATGTTATCAACTAGTTATACCCTCTAATTAACACAATTAGCTAACAGCTAACAGCCATTTACCAATATCTACCGCTTCTGTCTTGTGTTTCTTGTGAAGCAAGTTATCTCGTTTTTGACATTTTCTTACTTTCGGGTTACACCTCATCCATAACCTAACATGTTGGGTTCAATCCTCTGTTTCCAGGCAAGTTGATGGAAATGGCGTGTGGCATGCTGGGGTCGTTCTGCCATTGAAAACCTCGAGAACTGAAGAAACGATACAACAAGAAGCAAAACACGACGGACGACAGCAAACCATGAGTACGTAGTGCATGTTAGTTGGTGCTCAAAGACGCGGTGAAGCATAGTTTGGCGAGTTTACGAAAACAATAGGTTTACAGCAATCTATCTCCCTGAATAAAACCGTAGTGTTTAGGCCGAGGGTCGGTGGATGAAATGATGGAGGGAGGGAGGGAGGAATTGAAGCAATTTCCATGGAAGAAGCAGAGTTTGTAGATGGCAGAGATGAATGCTATATCTTGTTGTTACATACCTGGTAATAAAAACACTTGTAATTAAACACATCAATTTTTTCATTTGTATTTAAAACTTAAGTCTGTCTTGGCCGACACTTCACTGTATACACCAAAAAAAAAAAAAAAAAAAAAAACCTTTCTCTTCTCCTCATCACGGGTGGTGTATTTTTTTAGACTTTTTGTGAGTCCATTTAAGCTTCTCATAATATTCTTTTCATTTGTATCATTTTTGTTTGTTCTGTAGTGCCTGGAATGGAATGGAATTGTATACATATTATTTAATGTCTGGCAGTATTATAATTACGACAATGACCTGTGATCGAGCGGTATAACTATGACTCTCTTAAATGAGAGGTCACATGTTTGATATTACATTATAACACAGATAAATCAAGACAACGACGTCTTTGAAATTTTTTTATTAGTGACGAGGGAAATAGTTATTTATTTATTTTTGAGTGACAAAAGAAATTTACAATATTTGAGAGTGTGTATTGAATTTATTATATATATATATATATATATATATATATATATATAATTAAATAATAGTAAGATGGGTAGTAGGAAATTAGGAATGAGGTAATATGTAATTATTGGGGGTGGGGTCCATGCCATGCTGTCAAATAAAGAAGAGGTGGAAGGAGTAAAGTCAATGAACCCTACATGGCCCACCACAACACTCGCATGTGTGTTTTCCAACTAATAATAATTCATGTGAAGACAGCTCATTCCTCCTTTTCTCTGTGATGTGATGATCATTAAACAACAAAAGAGAGTGCAGACACATTATTCTTCAATTTATGCATCACTGCATAATAAATTAAACTAACTTAATTGGCATGTGTGAATAGTTTAAGGGAAAATGATACATAATTTTTTTTTTTTTTTTTTATCAAGTATCATAGTTTTAAAGATGGAAAAAAAAAAAGGTGAATAAAAGTTGTGCCTTCATTGTGATGAGTTATAGTTTTTGGTATAGTGGTAAGTGATTGATGTTAACAAGTGGTATCATAACCATGTCATGGGTTCGGGAGAACAACATTGTTTTCTTGCTTGTCCGATATTTTGTTGAAAAAATAGCATTAAAATGACATTTTAAGTGGCTATTTTGCGGTACAATTATCAGTGGAGTCCACTTCCGATTTGGGTCGGGTCAAAGTGGATTCGGGTTCTTCGTAGTGAGACGAAGAGATTTATATATTGGACGCTCAAAACAGATAATGGGTGAATGAGATATTGATTCTCAAAGTAGACCCATTGAGTTGGAAAAATGAAGGGAAAAGTGAGCTTTGTCCCACATTGGTTTGGAAAGAGGATTTGACCCCCTTTTATACAAGAGCTCTTTTGGAGCTTGTAGAATTGTGTAGCATAGAGGCTCTCTCGCACGCGCGGGGGGTAGGGGGGGGGGCTGCAAATCAAATTCCAACTAGAAATGAGATCGAAAAGGTTTGATTCAAGCCCGAGCTGGTGTGCGTTGACACCATGGTTCGGCCTTGGTCAAAAGGAGGCACGAGCCATGGTTCGACCTTGGCCGAAAGGAGCTAGTACGAGAGTTGTGCTTCTGTTCGGTTTCTGCAACCAGTCCAGTGTGAGATTAAATTCATCACTTGCGGAATTAATTTTTAATTAATTCCAACTTTAAATATGAATTTAACTCTATGATAATGGGGCTGGCTGTTTCAGATGTTACAAAGACTGATTTAATATCAGCTTTAATGCCATAATGATGCTATTGAATCCTTCATACCCTATATAAGAAGGGAGTAGGACAACAGAATTTTTGCAATGGAGTGAACAAGCACACAACACACGAAATTTTGTTTTCAAGCTTCAAAATCCTTCTGCTTCTACTCCTTTCTTTGCCTAAACTGTGTTCAAGGCTTTGCTCTAGTTCGCCGGGTTCGCTCGTTTGGATACTCAAACGTCGAACCGTAGCGCGTTTTATCCTGGGAAACCTAGGCCATAGCGCTCCTAGCACTTTTGGGAGGTGGCAAATAAGGTTTTAAAGAAAGAGTGGTCTCTTGACTCACGCTAAAAACCCTTACCCATACACGAGCCATCTTTCCTTCTTTCGGTTTTGGATTATGCTTCTAAGCAAAGATCCTCTCCTTTTGATATAGTTTGGTTGGAATTATAATCTGTGGATTATAAGTTCCATTTGGTTGATATGTATATATCTTTTTCGTAGATATTCATGCATATAACCATGGTGATCTGATATATATATATATATATATATATATATATATATATATATATATATATATATATATATATATATATATATATACATTCAGGTAAAAACACATCTTAAAATACAAACCTATGGACAATTTGACGCCGTTGGATAGTGGTATTGGATGGTCTTGATTTTTTCCTCCTACGCGCTGTGTGCATGTAAGTAGTGCTGTGCAAAACCCGTCCAACCCGTCCGACCCGCCCCACTGCTTGGCTATCGGAGTGGATACCCGTACTCGACTCTCCTTACCCGATCCGCCATTCAATACGGTGTCGGTTTAGAAGGTTCGGATGGGGTGTACATTTTTGCCAACCGACCCGTCCAACCACCCGAACTATCCTAGGGTTCCCTAAGGCCTTGTATAATACGGCGTCGTTCCATCAATGTATATATACATGCCTTCCACCACTTGGTCTTCATTTTCTCATCCGCGCAGCTGACCTAGGGTTTGAGATCTGAGATCGCATCTCTCATTCTCTCGACTCTCAACTCTCTGTCTCTCTCACTCTCTAAGTCTCTCACTCTCTCAGAGTCTCAAACTCTCACTCAGTCACTCTCTTAGACTCTCAACTCTCTCAGACTCTCAGTCTCTCAGAGTCTCAGTTCTCTCAAGAGTCAAGAACTCAAGACTCAGCACGCATCAGTCATCTCTGATTCTGTAAATCCGTAAGGTAAATCTCTAATCTCTTAATCTCTATTTCTCTAAGCTCTAATCTCTTACAGTCTTACTCTGTAATCTGTAATCTGTAATCTCTAAATCTCTAATCTCTTAATCTCTATTGTCTAATCTCAGGGTTCTCAGAATCGAAGCGTTGCAATCTCTAATCTCTAATCTCTTACTCTCTGTCTCTGAGAGTCTAAGTGGTGGAAGCCGTGGTGATTACTGGTGAACTGGTGATTAGAAGCCCTTGTTCTCCCGGGATTATTTGGGAGAAATCAAGTAAATCGTAAACCCTAGTTTTATAATTTATATATCTTCATTTACAATGAGTATGTGATGAATATTTGGTGATATATTCATATATTATGCTATTTGTTGGTGGAAGCCTTTTACAAACTGATTTCTAAGTGTTGATTTTGTGAAATCTGGATTTTATGCCATGCAAATTTGTAATCTAACAATCCGAGTTAAAGGCTAAAATGTGAAATCTCCAGTGTGGGAATTTCCATTTATTGGTGGAAGCCCTTAACTCAAATCCAGATAATGATGATCTGGACTGAGTTCCTGAATCTGGATTTGTTTGTATAATTGTATATGTTATTATGTCTATCAGTTTATGGATGTATGACCCTTAATTGGTAATTGTTAAATCTGGAAAAATAATGACACAAACTACTATGTCCATGTGTCTGATTCTGGATATCTTTGTATGTTTAATTGTTTATTATGTAATTTATGTGGTCTCAGTTCTCTCAGTTCTCTGTGACTATCTGAATATCTGATTTTGTTCAATATGTGGAAGTGTAATATGTAATACTTCTATGTATGATTGTATGGTGGAAGCTTTAATATGATTGTATGATTTGTAATCTCCCTAAAATGTGGATACTGATGCCCATCTTTATAGATGAAAAGCATCAGTGCAACTGGACACCCTCCAACCTCAACTGATGAGGAGCATGGAGTAGAAGCTCAAGGTACTGAGAGAAATCCTCAGATAAATCCTATGCCTTCTCCTCCTGTTGTTCCTACAAAGAAGAGGAAAGAGGTGGAGTCTAGATCTATAGTATGGGATCATTTTGAAAAGATCCGTGCTCCACCTGCTAAAGGTGAAACTGAGGGACCAGTAGTTGAGGGCAAATGCCTTTATTGTGCCAAAATTTATAAATGTGAAAGTAAAAAGCATGGCACTTCCTCTTTGAAAAACCATATGAAGGCCTGCCTAAAAAATCCTCATTGTAAGGACACAAGGCAGTCTCTTCTCACCTTTAATGCCTCTGGAACAGAAGCTTCTGAGGGGGTTTTGGGGACTTGGGTTTTCAACCAAGAGGCTATTAGGAGGGCATTGTGTGAGATGATCATTGTTGATGAACTTCCCTTTAGGATTGTTGAGGGAAATGGCTTTAGGAAATTCATTTTAGTTGCTTGTCCTAGGTTTCAAATCTCTTCTAGGTGGACCATTTCTAGAGACATTTATCAGATTTACCTAGATGAGAGAATAACCCTAAAAAAGTTGTTTAAGGTGAGCACCCAAAGGGTCAGCTTGACCACTGATACATGGACCTCTGTCCAAAGGATCAATTACATGTGCATTACTGCACATTTCATTGATGATCAGTGGAAGCTAAACAAAAAGATCATTTCCTTTGTCCCAATTTCTTCTCATAAGGGAGAGTACATAGCCAAAGACCTTGAGAGTTGTCTTCTTGATTGGGGGATTAAAAATGTCTTCACTGTTACTGTTGATAATGCCTCTTCAAATGACACAGCTTTGGGGTTTTTCAAGAACAAACTTCTGTCTTGGGGTGGGTCTTCTGTTAGGGTTCAATATATGCACATGAGGTGCATAGCCCATGTGTTGAACTTAGTGGTCCAGGATGGGTTGAGATATGCAGGTCCTTCTGTTAAGAAAGTTAGAGATGTTGTGAGATGGGTGAGGAGTTCTCCTGCCAGACTTAAGAAGTTTAGAGAGATTGCTGTGCTTAATGGGGTGGAAGCCAAATGTGCATTACAACTTGATGTTCCAACAAGATGGAACAGCACATACATGATGCTTAACACTGCCCTTCAATACCAGAGGGCCTTTGAAGCTTATGAGAATGATGCCTCATTGAATGCTGACTTATCTGATTCTATTCCAAATTTTATGGATTGGCTTTCTGTGCAAAGCTTAGTCCATTTCCTGAAAGGCTTCTATGAGATGACTGTGAGAATATCTGGTTCTCTCTATGTCACTTCAAATACTTTCTTTTCTGAGATTTCTGACTTAGGTTGCATGCTGGATGACATGGTTAACTCTGTTTCAACCTCTGAAAAGGTAAACACTAAACTGTTAACATTTTTCTGAATGTGTTTGTATGCATTTGTTAATTTTTTCTGTGTTATGTCTGTTTTATAG